AAAAAAAAAAAATGCAAATGAAGATTTATGCATTAACATAACTGATTTACAAACTCAGGAGACTAAAAAACGAAAATAATAACCTTGTTTGACTTTGATGCTGCAGATATTGCAAAGTTTATAATTGGGCCAATTTACAATTTATTACCGGTAGAGCCGAGGTAGTAGCATCTGCTATGCTCGAAATCACATATATTTTACACCAATTTATTTAAAAAAAAATGTAAGCCTTTAAGAGGAGAAAATACCAAAAAAGTCTTTCAGGTTCGTTGGTTAGATTATTTAAAAATATTAGGCTATTTTAATTTTTTTACGTAGGCAATAATGAATCGATAGAGAAAATTATAAAATTGATGAATTAACGAAGTGACAATACTGCATATTTATTTTGTATGAAATCGTGTACGAATCATTTCATTACGTCATTGGAGCTTCCAAAGTGAAAATTAACCCTCGCTACGTGGGCGGGAATTTTGACTTACCGATCACCAGAAAACTTAACATTATACACACACCACAAGTGGAAGCAAAAAATGATAATGTAATTTTTTACTTAACCACCCTAGGTGTGTAAATGGAAACTACGAAGTGATATCATTCTAAATTTTCACGAGTTTTCAGTGTTGTTAAAAAAAAGGCTTATTTTTTTCTGTAACCAACCTGACTGACCTAATGAGAATCGGAAAAATATCTTAACTTCTTTCTTATTTATTGGTTAAGTATTTTTCAAAATTGCTATATAATTTCGTATTTCGTGCAATATTAAATTTCATAGAAAAAAGCACAATGGAGTTTTGAAATAGAAAGAGCCAATGAGAGCACTAATACGCAACTTTCTGCTCCACTCCTACTTTTTCACGCTGTTTTACAGCAGTAAAGAAAATAAATATAATGAAATCAGTGAAACAAAATGAATAAAAAATTTAATTGATTTTGTTTTAGTAGCATGATTAATCTACACGTATATTCTTACCTTTTCGGTAAGACACTTTTCATACGTATATTTCAGCATTACAGGTTTACTAATTGTAACTATATGGTACTAATAGAAAAGCATTATTTAATTTACTACATTTTTTTGTTTCACTTACAACTTATATGAGCTCAAAAATATGAAAAAAAAACTATATTCACATGCTATGCATTTAAACCCGTGAGTACAATTAAGACGTTCGATCTATTTTTTTTACCGTCACTCACGGGCCTTAAGAATTTGCGCATCAGTTTTTTTTTGTCCATGTGGACAGGGAAACTTTGTACAAGCAGATTAGAAAGGCGTGAAATTCGCTATTAGAATACAATTATAGGGGATAAGAAATCGACCGCAACACCCATGGTGGAGTATATGTGTGTTTTGGGAGGTTAATAAATAAATAAATAAGCTATTGCTTACCTTTGAATGTAATTTATTGATTTATTAAGTTAATATTTAGACATACGACAAATACCTCCCAAAACGCCGAATGTGGGGGCTTATTTTCTTAGAGTATCACTTGTCATACATACTCAGCGAATGGCTCTGACGGGCTCTTTCTATTACAAGTATTTCGCAGCTTTATTATCCTCACGAGAAAAACAGATCCTTTTTTTGTTGGTAATTGTTTTATTACATAAACTATTCACTAGTACAGATTTTGTCCTAATTTTTACTCATAACATTTGCAAGGATGCATCATCTCTTCAAGCAAATATAAAACAACTAGCAGATATTAACGAAACAAGTTTATTCTTACCTTTATGTACTTGGCAATTCCTTCAGCATCTCTAGGTCCATTGTACTCTTTAGGAGGCTCTTCATTAGCAAATATTTTCAAAGTCGGATAACCTTGGACGGAGTAGTCATTACATGTTGATTTCCCAGCTTCAGTACAGTCCACCTTAGCTAAAGTAATTGGTGGATCGTGACCTCTCAATAATTCTGCAGCCTTTGCGAACTCGGGTTTCAGTTTTTTGCAATGACCACACCTGTAGAGCAAACATAACCATTAGTTTCTAGTATGTAACTTACGGTGCATTATATCAATTTTATGGATAAAAATTCATTAACAAATCTTAATTTTGTGCCCAAAAACTGACCTGATATAAGTATTACTTCAAATAACACTTTCTACAAGAATAGAACCGGTGATCTTCGGCATGCGAGCCGAGTACCCTATACCCAGTCTATCACAAGTGATCACAATAATAGAAACCTCTTACTTCTTGTTATACCAAGGTTCGTGACTTAATTTTTAATATTTATTTGCTATTTGTTAATTAAATAGGTTTCATTAAAAATTATTTGTGTTAGTAAATAGAGCCACAACGATCGCATGAAACTAGAGATCAGCTGAACGGAGTTTTTAAAAATTGTGAGGGGGGCTGAGGGGGGGATAAACAAAAATTTAACCCAATAAAAATGAGATAAAAACCGATAGAATTTTACTTTATTTAGAGGTAAGCTCTATAAAATCGAGTGGGGACTATGGGAGAATGGAGGGAGGCAAAACAAAAATTGAAACGAATAAAAATACCATTAAAATCGATAGAATTTTACCTTACTTTGAGAGGGGGGCAAGCGAGATTGAGGGGGGCTGCGAAGGGTGAAGGGGGGATGTGTGGAATGACCTAAAATCACTATATAATATAGAATTTTATATATACACGTGTGTGTGTGTACACATATAAAACATAAATTATTAGTTAGCAAAGCAATATCAGTACTATGATAACTATTCATACAAGGCTTCCATGTGGTAGCGCTGATTTTACTTAAATTAAGGAGGTTTGGGAATATCATTCAGAGAAGCGAGGAACGAGGAGTCCTCCCTGCCCGCGCATCTGGAAATATTCATGTGCACTCCTAGAATTCTCAAATATAACACACATTTTTATTAGCACGTTTCTCCATTTTCAACTTTGAGTGAGCTATCCCCATTTAACCCTGTACTGTGCAATGATGCCACGTGCAAGAGAGAAAGCTGCATCATGGGCCCCCCATAGTTAACATAAAGTTTAGTGGGGCCTCTTGGCAACGGTCTCTTTCGTAATCATGGGAGCAAGAAGGTACATGATTATGTGGGGATAGCGCACTCTATTCTCATATTTCTATTTTCCACTATTTCCCAGTTAGTTCCGGAAATAGTGGAGTCAATCATACGATGGGTAAATTATTTGAAAATCACAGTGATTTCTAAACTAATTGCCAATGCCAAATTTATTGTTGAATTAAATGTAAAAAAACTTGCTTTTTTGATTAAAATAAAACGTAATAATATTTTTCTTAGCTCTAATTGAAAAAAAAAAAAAAAAAAAAAAAAAAAAAAAAAAAAAAAAAAAAAAAAA